TCTCTAGTGCTTTGTAAAAGAAAAACAATATTATTATCAAAATATTCATTTAATGGCTTTACTTCATTACATAAATACATGTTTGGATAGAACACATGAGCGATGACTATTCAGTCAGTTGGAAAAGGACTTTTCATTGCGTCGGGGCTGTATACACAGGGCAGTTGGTAACTCAGCGCTACAAATACGCTATTCGGCGTCCTTTGTTTTTAACCCTTTGTTTATACCTTTTCCCTAGAACCGCCGCCAAGTATTTCTTGACAGCCATTTGTTTCCGGTAGCGACTGTAGCTGTCCGTGAAGATTCCGTCCGAGTGGCGCTTGGAGAGCGGCTCCGCGTCGTCCTCCGCGCCGCCTAGGCTCCCACTGCAAGCAAAGGGGTCGGGAAGAGGGTGGCGGGGCGGGAGACAAAGGTTCAATCGCTGCGGGGAGCAGGCGGGCCCCATCCCACGCGGGAGCCTTGGGGAGAGCACGGGGCTTGCACTGCCCACCTCACCGCCTCCCTCTGCCAGGAAGCTGTCGTAGGGAGGGCTGAGATCGAAGCCCCTCAATGCCTCCCTCCCTCCCCAGGATTTCCTGGCACGAAACCCTACAGAAGGGGCCCGGGATGAGATCCAGGCAGACGACACGTGTTTTAAGCCTAATCCTTCTCCCAGTGCTGCCCCTTGAGATGTGACCATCCGTGCGTTTGCGCCAAATTGTCCTCACTCTTCCTCTCCCTCGACGTACAGAGAAAATAACCAGAGAACCCTCAATACGCCAGGCTGGCTGCTGCCCTGGAGTTTGCATCGATCCTGCAATTCCTAGTCAAACATGACCACTCCTATCCCTCCTCACGCCAAGTTGAAAAACGTGATAATAATATAAGTCGACAGGCTGTAGGCAATATTTTTCACTGCATGAATTATTCACAGCGAAAATGTAATGTTTTCCCATGGGCTTTATTAAAATGTTGCCTTCTGCTGCGATACTCCTCACGCAAGCCCTATGCTCTCGGTTTGTCCGGCGTGAGCCAAAACGGTTTGGTTCCTAAGTGTCCAAATTTGGCGATTTATTTTTTCGATTTGAATTTTCTGTAAATACAACCACCCCTTTCCCCTTCCCTCGGCCAAAAAAAAAATCATGCTTAGAGGAAATTACAGCAAAACCTCCCTCCCTGGAAGCTTGAAGGTTTTGAATGACTGAGAGGTTTGGTTTGGTTTCTCTTTCCTTTCATTCAAAACGGATCAAACACCCTGGCACGCGTTCCCTTTTTCCCTCTTCCAGAGCTCTCTGGGCAAATTTAAAGTGCCACTTCAAAACCTCGCCAGCGACCCTCGGCCGGTACCCACCCCAGATCCTGGGACGCAGACTCACCCTGGGACCCACGTGCACACACGGCCGCGGAAGCCGCGCCGCCCGCCCAGCGCGCGCCCCGCTCAGGCACCCACCCCGGCGCGCGCGAGCCACCTTGCGCGGATTAACCCTTCCGCAAATCTTACCCCACGCCCTTGGCCACGAGCGACTGCAGGTACTTCCTGGCGGACAGCTGGTCCAGCACTTTGCGGTAGGCCTTGTTAAGAATCCCGTGGGCGACATCTCTAACCAGGAGGCAAAGTGTGCGGCCCTGGGTCACTGATTCTGCCCCCAGGTGGGCTCGAGACCCCCCTGTTGGGTGTGCGCGCCCCCTCGGCTGTCAGGGAGGTTGACAGAGAAACCTCCAGAGGCGCAGAACTCGAGAATAACTCCCGGGATGATCCCGAGAGTGACTGCTAGGATCGGGAGTTAGTCCTGGCTGGAGGAATGGCAGATGTGGAGTGTGGGCTCCTTGACGCCACTCACCGCCACTCTTTGGGCCACAGCCCCCTCGGTCCCCATGCGGCCCTCAGGTCCACAAAGACCCTCCCGCAGCTAATTTTCTGCAGCTACAATAGAATATGGCCAGGGAGAGGATTGAGGTAATGGGAAAAAAAAAATCCTCGGTGGGTCACCACACTACCCCTCCCGCCACCGCCGTCCCAAGCGCCCAGCCGCTGGTGTGCGCGAGGCCGCGCGAATCTCACCTCCTCTCCACCGGGTAGTACAGCGTGAAGGCGTCGCGCAGCGCGGAGGCGGGGCTCCCTGCGCCAGGCGACTCCAAGTCGTAGAAGTCTTGCAGCGGGGTTCCGTCCTCGTCGTACGCCTCTTCCTCTGGCCTGCGGGGTGGCCGGGGACAGAAGGAGTGGTCAGTACAAGTCCCTCCCCAGCTCGGCGAGGACCAAAAGAAATGGGCTCTCACTGATTTTCACAGTTGGTAAAGTCTTCCACGAAAATTTGTCTTTTCTCCCAGGACGGGAGGTGGGAGCAGAAGTAAGGAGAAGGGAAACATACCCAACCATTCCTACCCCGCCAGGCGGCTCTCCGACCCCTCCTCTCGCGGGTGCCACTGCAGCGTCTTCCTGCAGGGCCACGGCCTCAACGAGCACTAGGAAACAGAGGCGTCTCCACCGACCGCACAAACCTGGCTACTGAAAAGGACCGCCCCCCTCCCCGCCTGGCGTCCAAGCTTCCCCAAAGTAGCAACGGGCGGGGACGGGAAAGGTCCTACGAGACTAGGCGCTGACCCAAGCGAAGACCCAAACAGGGAGGCCCAGAAAGCAGAGGAGAGGATGGGGTGTGAGGCGGCCAACTCTGCAGCCACCCCCACCCCAGCCTTCGAGCCCAGGGGAGCCCTTCCCGGCGCAGATGTAGGTCACGGAGAACCTCAGTTTCTATTTTGGGCAGGAGAGGATCTGGCAGGAACATGAATAATAGATGCCCCTAAACTTAGCGGGTTTGGCGGCGGCTCAGATTGAGGCATGTCCGCGCCCTCCGGTGCCTCTCGCCCGGAGAAAGTGCCAGGCACACGGGAATTTGAAAATAGCTGAGGGTGAAACGAGGGTGTTTTAAGGCCACTAAAAGAATAGTTCGTGCTAATCTGTTAGCGATGGCGGGGACCCATCTCAACCTCGGAGCACAAGGAGGGGTTCAACAGGGTACTGAGAGCCAGCGAGTGCCCGGCGACTTCGCAGTCGCCCTTATCTTCAGCCTCCATTCTTTATACAGGACGGGTAGAGATGGGTTAAAACAAATCCCTCTCGCTTTGGACCCCTGGAGACTTGGAATGCAGCCAGCGCTAGTAGCACTCTCTAGGCGGGGTTGAAGTCGTACTCCGTTACTTCACTCGCCTCTTCTCCATCCTCGGAGAAGCCAGGGCTAAGCAAGCACATCCCTCCGCACTTCCCGCACCCAGCCTTTCCTCCGCGTTGCGTCTCAGCCCTGTCCCGGGTACCCCGATCTTTGGGTCTTTTTGGATATTGCCCTGCCCCGAGCCCAGATGCTGGAATCCTAATACAAAAGCCAGAACCCATCTCTCCGTGCAAATCAATGGTCAGCAGCCCTGCAAGGCTAATGTCACTAGGCGCGGTTCGCAGAAGACAGGCAGCTTCGCCTGCAGAACGCGCGCTCCTCGCTGCCCCAGGCGCCGCGAGTGCGGACCCTGCCCTGCCTAAGGCGCTTCTAAGGTCCGGCACACCCGCCCGCGACTCTGGGGCTGCCTCCGGGAACCTGGGCAGCGCCTGCCCATTAGAAACCCCGGGTTAAGAAAAAAGCCAAGGTTCCTCCATCCTGGGCCGGGCAGGGCTGCTCTCCTGGCCCTGCCTGCCTGCTGACTTTCTCTTCCTCCTCCCTTGCGTCAGTTTTTCCCCCTCCCTCGCAGTCTCGATCTTGTTCTTCCCTCTGTTAAGTCGCTTTTCCTCAATCACACCGGGCCAACACCCTCCCCCCCCCCACGCCCCCCAAGAGAGCCTGGGATTCAAAATGCAGTTGGAACACGGATCAATTGAAAGAAACCTCTTCAGGGGAAAGAATTGGAATCAAATTAAGAGAAAGGGCGGAGGAGAGAGAGAGAACCCGCCTGGATAGTGCAGAACAAGCAGTAACAAAGCAAAGTCCGAGGGAGCTTAACGCTCAACCCCCGGCCAGGCTCCAGCGCAGAAGTTCTACTAACTCATCCTAAGAATAGGTCAAACAAACCAAGCCAGGGGCTGTGCCCTGCCCCCTTCCTGCAGGCCAGGTTGGGGGAGGGGAGGTTTCTCCAGTGACCAGAAGCTCAAGGGCTCTACCCTGGACCCTGAGCGGCCCTTGGCTAGGGGAGGGGTCCGAACCGTCGCGAAACCTGCCAGACCCTCCGGCTAGAATGGGGACCCGCAGTCCATCCGAGGCTGGTGGGGGCGCACTGGGGGCGCAGACGGCGACGCTAGTAGTCTGGACCCACAGGACTGCAGGAGGGAGACCGTGAGGAAATGTCTGTGACAGGAAAGCCCCAGCTCCTGCTCGGGCAGGGAAGCCAGCACCTACCTGATCCCGGGGAACCGGAGTCCGGAGGCGGCAGGTGAGCAGTAGACGCTGCTGTGCATGATTATCCCATAGACCAGCAGGGCCAGCCTCGCTCCGCTACACATGGTCATTCTGCGCAGGATGGGAAAGAGGGCACACAACTGTAAGAAAGCTCCTAGCCTTCCACCCTCCAACCCCCAAAAAACTCTCGAAGCTGGGGGAGGGACGGAGCGAAGCCCCGGCTCCCAGTGTTGAACACCACTTAACGACAGCCAGCGCGCGCCCTGCCACTTCTTGCTTGCTATAGTTAGAAAAATATATAGATGTATATACCCAGAGCCCAATAACTAGCCAGACCTGGTTGAAGGAAAACTAACTACCCTGACGCGATGCCAGCGAAAGAATCAGCGGTCGAGTGAGACGGTCGGTTTGATAAGATTTTCTTTCCCTTATCCTTCAACTCTTACCGCTGTCAGGAGAGGGTGTGCTGCCAAGTAGGACGGGGGGCAAAGGGCTCCTTCAAGTTTCTGCGCTGGAGTCACAACCCGAGAGGCATCACCGTCTGGCGTCGGTGTCTGAGCAGAAGCCGCAGGAACGAGCAGGAGCAGCAGGAGGAGCTGCAGGACTTGTTTGCCGAGGCTTGTATTCTGTTCAAAAGTTTGTAGACGCGCAGAACTAGGAGAGAGCGTGACACGGAGAGAAGGGGGCGAAGAGAGAGATATAGAAGAAAGAAAGAGGGGGCGATGAGGTAAAGGGCGGACTAGCAAAGTGGCCGTAAGTCCACCGGGAGGAAGAAACAGGTGATTAAGAAAAAGAGGGAATGTCAGAGAAGAGGGGGAGGAGAGAGAGAAGAGAGGGAGAGGGCCCGTGGCTAGCCTGCCTTCCTGGGAGCCGCTGGTCAAGCAGCTGCGGGGGTCGGCAGCGCCTTCTCTGCTCTGAGGTCTCTCAGGCTGCCTCTGAAGCTGCGGCTTCTTCTGCTGCTGCCGGTGGTTACAGAGTTGACCGGCCTTCTGCTCGTATTTATCCGTGCAGTTAGCAAAAATCTATCCGAACACGGTTTTTGGAAAGACTTCTTTGTCAACACCTGTCTGCCTGTTGCCTTTAAGTACAGAATATTTTGTTGCACTGTTGCGCTCCGATTTTTATTCATGAAATGACTTCCTATTTTTTTTCAGGCACGTAATGATCGGGTATCAGAAAAAGACGTCAGCATCCTAGTCCCTCAAGGAACATATTAACTATTCTGTGCTGTCCTCTTGGATGATAAGATCCGGAGTCATCGACTTCTCATAAACACCTTTCACTCATACAATTCAATTTTTAAGAAGTCCAGTTATTTTGATGGTTTTCGATTTCACTCATTTCTCAAGGACTGGTAAAGAATTTACAGAATTTTGAAGATGGTAGAAGTTATTTTTTTAACTATGTAATGACAATTTCTCTTTACTTTTTCATCAAGCCCCAGCAATCAGAGCTCTGGCCTCTGGAATTAAGCATCATCAAGCGCTCCTATTAATAAATTTAATTTAGATCTCCCTATTTCTTGCGTATGTTCTTTCAGATAGACCATTAAATGTAGAAGTCGTTTGTTTTTAAAGGGAAGTCTTGGAGGATTTTTCAGTAAATCTCTCCCGAGTCTGGCTGCCGTTGACAGTCCAGCTATGAGTAGATTGATGAGAGCTCAAGCTGCCTCCGGAGCGCGGCCTGCGGAGCTGTCCAGACTCCGGGTGCTGAAGAGTTCCGTCACAGATGCTACAAACGTTGAAAATTACCACTGGTTTAATTTTTCACCAGAGCCTCTAAATTTGAAGATTTGGCAGTAGTACTATTAACGAGGCAATTCATTGCCTAAATCACCCCACCATTCAGATACATCCTTTCTCCCTTTGTAGTGTCCATAAATGCCCTAATACTGAGAATGCTCTCCATCCCTGTCTGGATTTGAGGAAAAAGCATTCTGTTCCCCATTAGTGCTGGCTTTTGGATCTCTAGACTGACTGACTGGCTACCTTCACCCCTTCTGTGGCTCTTACAGATCCTAAAAATTGATGTTGTAAAATTGTGCTTTCCACAAAAAATGAAATTTTAAGAATTTGGGGGTGAGAAATATCTTTTTCCACTTTGTTTACAACTTGAGCTCTGTTTGGGAACCACAGACAGACTGGGAAAGCATGAAGGTTCCCAGTACAAGTTCACTTGCTGAAGGTTTCTAACAGGAATCCCTGCACTGGAAACGATTAGACTTGTTTTGACTGAAAATGATGTGGGAAGAGGAAAGCAATAAGGGAAGACCATATCCACTCAGAGGCTTCCAAGTTCCTGGGTAATTTAAGAAGATTCATATATTTCTACTCCAGTAAGAGAACTCAAGTCTGTTTCTTTTTTTTTAAAAGGAAATAGAGCCATCAATAACCATTAGTGTGCATTTTAATTATTTGGATCTTACACAAAAATTAGGGAAAATTCTAGTTTAATGGGAGAGTTTCCTGTTACTATGATTTGGATCTAACATTTAAATAAGCTATATTAGTTCTGCATGCTTTTCCAAGATATAATGTTTCTCATTCTAAATGCTGTTCCTGCTCTTATTTGAGATTTAATACTTCCTCATTCTTAAGAACACTAAGTTTTGTTTATTCCTGGCCATGAATGACCGAAAACTGTCTGCTTCCTCTTAGTTTTTTCCTGGCTGTGCTTCGGATTGCCTGCCTTTAATAAAGCTTCAAACTACATCTACATGGGAATGTGTCTCTTTTTCTCTGATACATATGCTTGCTGATTTATGTTGGCATGTTTACATGCGTGTGTTCCGTGTTCAGCTCTGCCTCTGCAGCAAGCTCGCACACAAAGAGCCTGCAGTGAACACTGCTGGATAATCAAGCAGAGATGTCTTTCTTACTAAAGCGCCCAAAGCTATTCCCCACTGTGGCTTTCCTGTCTTCCACCTTGCTTCACGTCAAAGGTGAACCCCATTAAAATCCTTACTCTTTCCTCCCACATGAATTCTGAAATAAGTTCCATCTGTAGAGATATTTGAAAATTTCCAAGACTCCTTGTACGATTCACTACTCAACTTTAGTAAAGGGAGCCACCATGTGGGGAGTTTGCTGACTTCACGGCCTATTAAAGGGGGAAAACCACAAACACGATTAAATATCTGGGAAGGATGACTAACTGCTGGCTCCCTGGGCCAACTGAGGCTGAACTGTGCCTCTGACTTACCAAGGCTGTGACCCCTGTGATCTTCTCAGCTTAGATACTCTCGACTCAGAACTTGGGGCTTAGCACCCAAAAATCACAGGCCTTCAGACCTGAACCCATTCCCCAGAACAAAAGACTAAACAGAGAACTTGAGATTCTTGGTCACTGAACTCCAGAAAATCAAGCTTCAAGACCCACCTATTGCTCAACACAATCAAAAGACCCACCCAATCCCTCCTATAGCTGCCTAGGTGAATCAAACTCCCACAGGACCACCCGCCGATCTTTTGTTGCTCAAGGCTGTCTCTAGTTGGGTGTGCTTGACATCTCTCGGCAGGGGAGCTTTTCTATTCATGAAAATCTGGCCTTGAGCCCCTGGGCCAAGGGAAAAGACCAATGGATAGGAGGAACTAGAAGCTGCTAGATGAGAGTAGGGGCCCCTTCTGCTTCCTATTGGGTAGGGGGAATATGGGATGACTGAAGTCTCAAAGACCAAACGCCCCTTTGATTCTAACCTTGAGAGGCTCCAGCCAAGCATTAACACAGCGTCCTGGAGGCATTTGTGTCTGCGACTTTGGGAGAGTATCGAGGAGGAGGGCACTTAGCCCGAAGCCCAGAGACCGCCCCGGCTAGCACGGAGGAGGCTTGAGGCAGTGGCCAGGTGGGAGACTGTGGCTCAGTGGAACAGACATGCTAATTACAAGTGCAGATCCCAGCCTGGCTTCAGGAGCAGATAGGAGCTGGAGGGTGGATCCCAGGGACCCCCAACTAAAGCACTTTTGTGGGAGGAGAGAGAGAGAAAGGGAGGAAGAGCTAGAGGAAAATTGGGGAAGAGCAAGACAAGGGCAGCAGAGCCTTCCAGTTTTATTGTTCTTACCCAGTTTCCCTCACAAAGGGATTTTAGGTGAGTGGGGTTAAGAGCACAAGAGAAACCTTCCAATCTCCTATATATAATTGAAAATGATGAAAAAGAGGGCTGGGAGGAAGAAGAGACTGAATGAAGAGTTTGAACTGTCTATTTACAGATAACACAGAGGAATTTCAAGTCATCTTTCCAACTCCTCCACTCCCTCCCCTTGGTGGTCACCAGAAGACTTCCCAGGCCAGCAAAGTAGATTTCCCAGGCTGGCAAAGTTTCTTTCCAGGCTATGAGATTGTTATGTTAATGGGAATCATGTTCAGCTAGAAAGTTAGAAGAACAATGGAAATCTTAGGGTGGGAGGTCTAACCAGCATCCTCCCTGAGGCACAGCAACTGAAGGTAACGGTGCTAAGCCCCTGACCTGCCCAAAGATACTGTTTAGATATATTTGTTGGAAATGATTAATAAAACTCTGAATTTCAAGTCGCTAATGTATCAACTTTTATCCTGATGGTTCTTCAGATGTTAAAACAGGTTTTGGTTAGAAATGGTAAATACTAGTTAAAAGCCAAACTAACACTTCCCCAAATTGTTTTTCCTGGTTGCTAACACATCAGTCTTTGTTGAACCTTGAACCTTGAATCAACATTTGATTTAAAGAACTCTAGTCTTTAAAGAAGTGGGTTTTTGTATTAAACAGGAGGAATATGTCTAGTATATTTACTGGGAGTTTGAATTGCAGATGGCTTCACAACATTAGCAAATACTATAGTGTTTGTATTGTTGTGTATGTGCCAGGTTCCTGCCTTTGAACCATCACCACCTGGAAGTTGGCTTTGCCTCTCTTGCATAGGAATCTTCAACATCTTTTAAATGCTGCTACCTTCCACCCCCATATTGCAAATCAGTGGTGAGCTAAATGTATTTTTGCCTTTAAGCAGCCCAGTGAAGTGCAGCTCCTGGTCACTTGGATGAGATTTCCACTACTTTTCTTTCTGCTCAGTCACCCATAGTACCCAGGGTCTTCCCATCACATTCCCTTTCCTTAGGTACATACCTTATACCATTACCTTTTACCACCACTATCTCTATGTCCTACAACATTCGATTTTCTCAGCCATATAAAAGGACATGTTTGCTCAAGGCATCCTCACACCTTCCCAGTATAAATGTATAAATAGTCTAAATCAAGGTTGGAAAAGTTGTACATTCTCATTCTATTCTTTTTTTTTTTTTTTAAATGTAGTCACTCTGTCACCCAGGCTGGAGTGCAGTGGCATGATCTCAACTCACTGCAACCTCCGCCTCCCAGGTTGAAGCAATTCTTCTACCTAAGCCTCCCCAGTGGCTGGGACTACAGGCACCTACCACCACACCTGGATAACCTTTGTATTTTTAGTACAGACAGGGTTTTACCATATTGGTCAGGATGGTCTTGAACTCCTGACCTTGTGATTCATCCACCTCAGCCTCCCAAAGTGCTGGGATTACAGACGTGAGCCACCACACCCAGCTCATTCTATTCTTTTTTAGCCAGTACTTAGTATAAGAACCAGGCTATAATAAGCTTTTTCAGTGAACAAGCCTGATGCAAAACATCGTCCTCTCCTGTGAGTGACAAAAATGAATTATAACACTGTATTTCATTTCACTTGAACTTTTCTCTTCTGACTCTTCCAGAAAATGCAATGACTAATGACTCACTCCATACCGATTACACCTGTAGGGAAACCCAAATGTTCTGAACCAGAACATCATGACCATCACTTACTGGACTGCATGCATCATGCCTTTCTGAACTCACTGTGAAGTAAGAAGCTGATGAGCTTACCTATAATGTGTTGTGACTTCGCTGACCTTCCAAATGTAGTGCTTCACACACACTGAAAACAATTAAGAAACGAAGCATTTCCAAACCACGAGTAAAGCTTCTCTCTCTAACCCAAGAACAGAATTGCATATTCACAAGGCCAAGCAATTTTGCCAGTTGTTTTAAGACATGAAGCAGACACTCAAGAAACAGAAACCAGGATTTAAGCTTTGCTACAGGTTTGGATGATTCCAAATATCTTACATATATGGCTCTACTAAAGCCTTATCCTCTGAACATTAGTTTACTAGGTACCGAAAAGCTATACCCCAGACTTCACTGTGTAGCAACTTCCAAATTCTCCCCAGACTTCCAGAGCACCTCCTCTAAAAAGCCAGGGAGAAGAAAATCTTCTCTCTGCTTGAATCTAAATCCTCTACTCATATAAGGCTTAAATGCAGAAGGAAAAGCTTGGACAGAAACCAGTATCTTATTGGTTAGGATATTTAACCAACATCTTAAACAAGCTTTTGAGATCACTTCTGAAAACATTGAAAGAGAAATTTGTATGCAAAATAAAACAAGGTTTTTGAGTGTAAAATCAAAAGAGGATCTTGCTCTGTGAGCTCCTAGCATCCCTCTGCCTTTTGAGCTCAGACTTGGCATTCTACCTGTGAATATAGGTTTACTTGTAATAATTTTGGAGCCTTTGTTTTTATTATCATTATTACTAGCAGTGTACAGTAATCATAGCTTTGAAGTTTTTTTGTGGGTTTTGTTTGTTTCTTGTTTGTTTGTTTTTGACATGGTCTTCCTCTGTCACCCATGCTGGAGTGCAGTAGTGCATTCATAGCTCACAACAATCTCAAATTCTTGGACTCAAGTGAAACTCCTGCCTTAGTCTCTTGAGAACCTGGGATTATAGGCACATGCCACCATAATGCCAGGTTAATTTATTATTATTATTATTATTATGCAGAGGTATGGTCTCCCTGTTTTCCCAGGCTGGTCACAAACTCCTGTACTCAAGCCTCCCAAAGTTCAGGGATTACGAGGATGAACCAGTATGCCCAGCCTGCAAATACTTTTTAAATAATCCTTTGTCTCAACCCAAATAAACACAGGCATAATTTTTTTTAAACTATCGTCTGCTTGGAATACTATTACATTTGTCATGAATGTACTGCTTGAAATTTTTAACAATTATTTCTTTAAATTATTTTAAATCCTTCCTTCCAAAGGGACTGTATGGTTTTTCTACTCACCAATGAATAACAGCAACAGCAATAACTGTTTAATAAACACTTACTGGGCTGAGTGCTTGACTACTTATTTCCTTTCCCTCACAACGAACTTCTTTGTAGGCACCATTATTACCTCCATTTTACAGATGAGACATTGAGGCTAAAAGAGCTCAGGTACCTTATCCAAACACCACTGCTACATTGTAATGCTGAGCCTCAAATTCAAGTCTCAATGACTCCAGACAGTCTTAATGACCATAGTATGTTATACTGGCATATTTATTTTCTCTAGGATAGTTATAAATACAAATTACTAATTTAATATTAGCTTTAATCTATGACTTGAGAATAAAGTCAGTTTCTTATTAATTTTTTAATTAAAAATCATGTTTAATGTAATAGGGATCAAAGCTATTAACACAGTTGAAACTGGGTAAATTAGACTACAAACATATCACATACTCATGAGTTTTGCTTTATAAACAAAGTATGCTTCTAAAAATATGTGCATCAACAATGTACCATGTATTCTTGTTTACACATAGCAGGTTGTTGAAAAAGTAAAAACTATTGCCACCCTAAGTCATTATTTAAAATGATTTTATTAACAAGCCTG